CTTTGCCAATACAAACCCTTGACTTCTACCTCCTATAGTTACCAACTTTAGAGAATGACAAGGTTAGAATATTTTTTCCTTCCTATTTTAATATGTTAGATTTTTATAACACTCAAATCATTGTATTGTCTGGGGCTACCAGGAACTTAGATCACTGGTTTACACTGGGGTGCTGCAAGAATTCTTTTAAAACACGCAGTACCGCCAGGACTGGTTTGGCTCAATGGATAGAGCGTCGGCTTGGGTACTGAAGGGTCCTGGGTTCGATTCCGGTCAAGGGCATGTACCTTGGTTGCGGGCATGTCCCCGGTGGGGGGTGTGCAAGAGGCAGCTGATCGATGACTCTCTCTCATCGATGTTTCTAACTCTCTATCTCTCTCCCTTCCTCTCTGTACAAAATCAATAAAATATATTTAAAAAAAAAAAATAAAAAAAAAAAAAATAAAACACGCAGTACTGCCCTAGTCGGTTTGGCTCAGTGGCTAGAGTGTTGGCTGCAGACTGAAGGGTCTTGAGTTTGCTCTGGTCAAGAGCATGCACTTCTGTTGCAGGCTCCACCCCTGGCCCCTGTTGGAGTACATGCGGAAGCAACCAATCGATGTGTCGCTCTCACATCAGTGTTTCTTTTTCTCTGTCTCTCCCCCTCCCTTTCACTCTCTCTAAAAAAAAAATCAGTGAAAAATATCATCGGGTAAGGATTAACAACGACAACAAATATGCAAGACCTGACCTCTTCCCCCCTCCTTTTTTTAATTAAAAAAAAAAAAAGGACAACAGCCAACATAACGATAGCTGTCCAGTGTGAATGATTCAAAATTATACCATTGTGTTTTTGTTTTGTTTTTTGTCAGATCAGCAAAATATATATTTTTTGCTGTGCCCCAGAATTTGAGTAGTTAGTTTGTGTGCCACGAGATGAAAAAGGTGGGAAATGGCTGACTCAGGTTGTGAGACAGCGGTGACTAACGGCACATTTCAGCTCCTCCGTGTACCAGCTCTGACCTTGGGTAAGCTACGGAGCTTCTGTGCTCTGGTTTCTCATCTGTGAGTTGGGATGGGATAATTAATAATAGTAACTGCTGCATAGAATTGTTAAGGTACATGAACTAGTTCATTCATGGTTAGCGCTTTTCTGGAACATTGGAAATGGTCGGTAAATACTAGCTGTTATGATGATCATGGGATACCAAATAGCTTGAGCCACCTGTATGCCATCATTTTTTTTTTCTTCTTCTTGATAAGGAGCATGTTCACTGGAATTTCATCATAAAGACAATGATGAAGGTAGATTTCAGTGGGATCTAGAAGGTTAGGTTATGTAAACATTGGACCTCCCAGATGGAGGAAACTGTGAGCGTGAACTCAGATGGGAGGAACCTTCATTGTCCCAGGAAAGGTGAGGAACTCAGGTGAACCGCAGTGTCCTGTCCTCCATGGGGAGCCGTGGGTGATCCAGTAGGAATCGAGGTTTGGGGTTAGCCCAGGGAGGCCCTGAGATGGCTGGCCAGGGTTTGGGACTGTGGGCCTTTGAGTGCTGAGGTCCCTTTGCCGGCAAGGCACAGAGGGGATTAGAGGGAACAGGACCTGGGCTAGGAGACAGCTGGGAGGCTGTTGGATACGAGAGAAGAGGATGTGCATTGCTGGCACTTGGGAATGAATACCCAGGGTAGGTGGGTCTCAAGCATAAATAAATGCCACTAACAGGCATAGGGAACTCTGGCGTAGGGGCGGTGTAGGATGGAGGAATAGGATTTCAGTTTGGAGAAAATCAATTTGAGGGACAGATAGGAAAACCCAAGAAAAACACCCCTTCGATAGAAATTCAGAACTGGCCGAAGCCGGTTTGGCTCAGTGGTAGAGCATAGGTCTGAAAGATCCCAGGTTCGATTCCGGTCAGGGGCATGTACGTTGGTTGCGGGCACATTCCTGGTGGGGGGTGTGCAGGAGGCGGCTGGTCGATGTTTCTCTCTCATCAACGTTTCTGGCTCTCTATCTCTCTCTCTTCCTCTCTGTAAAAAAAATCAATAAAATATATTTAAAAATAAAAAAGGAATTCAGAACTGAATGCAGGCAGGGAGATCAGTGTCAGAGATCAAATGCCTCGGTTCTCAGAGTGGTAAAGACAGAGAGGAGGAGATTGCCTGAGGCCACGCCCACAGCCTCCGAAGGGACCCCACATTCTTTGGGCAGAAGCAGCTGAGGCAGGAAGCAGGAAGCCCTGGAGTGCAGGGTTTGATGCCGCTGCTCGGTTAGACTTCTCCTCACATTTCTCACGTGCCTTCCAATTTTTCCAATCTGTTCACGGGTCCAAAGAGAAATGCCGGTTTCCCTTTTCCCCATCACATGCTGATGGGCAGTAACTCCCAGGATTCCTTTGATACTGAGCAGAGAATTGGGCTCAGATTATGGAATTTTAAAATGGCCCTATACCATTTACATATTTTTTGTTACAACATTAGAAGACGGAGACTGAAGACATACCTTCAAATTAAAATAAAAAAAATTTTTTTTTTCAGGACCAAACTGTTTTATAACCGTTCATTTTGTGTGTGGTTTTTCCGTGGGTATAAAAATACTCAGTGGATGTGGGGGTGGTTTCTCGTGTTTTGGAAATGGTGAGAATATGAGATGCCGAGCGTTGGGTCCTGGGACGAGAGCTATAATTACTAACTGATTCTTTACCAGGACTGGCTCCTGGGTGGATATCTGAGATTAAAAACCCAACACTCCAGAATCCCGAGCAGGGAGCCACTCCCCTCCCCTGGAAATTAAAAGTGTGATGGAGAGGAGAGGGGAGGTAGGATGATGGCTCTTCTGGGCCTTGTCTTCTCTTGTGTCATTTGCTGAGGGTCCGAATCAGGGATGTGACTGAAATGCAGGCTGGTGTGGCCTCTCCTAGCCTGACACACAGCAGCAGCTGCACAGCTGTGATGGAAAGAGGTCTAAATATAACCCAGACTCGTTTCAAATCCTCCTCCCCCAAGCCTTGGCGGATGTGGTCCACGCCCTAAAAATACCTGCTGTCTGAGTCTTGAGGTATCTGAAGAGGAAGGGATGGGTGAGAGAGTAAAATTAGGGCCGTGTGGTATGTGGGGGGGACGGGCCAGCTACCAGGCCCGCTGCCCACGGGAGTCTGCTCCGGAAGCTGTTGGTAAGCTGCCCACCGTGCCATCCTGTTCAAGGATAAGTGCCCACTCTTGAGCCTCGTATTCACTGTTGGCAGGTTTCAAGGAAACTATTCATAGACGGAGCATCTGTTCTCTGTCCCATTGACCTCAAGCCTGCAGCTGCCACCATGGTATTCAGGCAGCGCGATGGCTTTCAGTCTTGTTCGGAGAATCAGGATTCTAGAGCTGGCAAGGACCTTGGACATTATAGCGTTCAGACAACAGTCCCTTAAAACCACTTGGTCCAGGGAATCACATTTCTCTGCCTCTGTAGTGACCCTGGCGATTTGGACGTGGAGTATCTGTCCCAGATTACTTAAAGAGATCCCTCCCATCATTATCTAACACAAATAGGCATAAAGGAAACCTGCGTTTTGTTTTTTTAAAATGTTGACTAAGTGACCCTGGCCAATGCCTTTTTTAAAAAATTATTATTATTAAACTGTAAATTGGGGGCTCTTTTTTTTATCCAAATTTTAGCATTTTGAATATAAAGTTCATGGGCAACATAACCAGAACACCAGGAGTCGTGTTTTCAAGAAGGCTTTCAGTGTCTAGTTTCTGGAATCCCAAGGCATAACTGTGGTATTATAACTGAAGGACCGTCGCTGACCTCTGCTTTCCTGGGAAGGAAAGGTTTCACAGGTCATCTCTAACATCCTTGGGATGTCTTCCAAGTCATGGAGGCAGTAGACATCCTTTCTAATAAAAGAGTAATATGCAAATTGACCATTACTCCAACATATAAGATGGCTGCCCCCATGTGGTTAAAGATGGCCACCACAAGATTGCCAGCAGGGGAGGGCAGTTGTGGGTGATCAGGCTTGCAAGGGAGGGCAGTTGGGAGGGGAATATGCCAGCAGGGGAGGGCAGTTAGGGGTGACCAGGCTGGCAGGCAGACGTGGTTAGGGGTAATCAGGCAGGCAGGTGAGCGGTTGGGAGCCAGCAGTCCTGGATTATGAGAGATGTTCAGCTGCCCGTTTAGGGATCAGGCCTAAATGGGCAGTCAGATGTCCCTCGAGGGGTCTCAGATTGGAGAGGGTGCAGGCTGGGCTAAAGGACACATCACCCCGCCCCCATCCCCTGCACGAATTTCGTGCACTGGGCCTCTAGTCTATATAGAAAAGCCTAAGTGACCGTTCGACCAGTAGCTATGACACACTGACCACCAAGGGGAAGACACTCAATGCACAACCATGGAAACATGGAACAGACTGATAAATCTCAGAGGGAAGCGGGTGCAGAGAGGGCATGAAGAGATTAGCCAAATATCTTATTTGCATACTAGAGGCCTGGTGTATGGATTCGTGCACCGGTGGGGTCCCTTTGGGGATTGGGTCGAAACCTGCAGTCCAACATCTCCTAAGGGGTCCCGGATTGCAAGAGGGATGCGGGAAGCTTCTCCCCTGTGAGCTTCTCAGAGCTCCTTCCCTGTAGCTGGAGAGAGTGTTACTTAGTTTTTACTGTGGGCTGGAAGTCATCTGAAAATTTTTCTTGAGTGTTCAAAGCTACCAAAATGGTTGGAGTTTTTTTTATGTCTTTTACTAAGTATCTGAAATAGTCACCTCCAGAAGCTCCGTTTTCCCTGGACCCGTGCACTTGTAACAGGGAGTGAGGTGTACTGGAGACCATCCACCTGGGAGTGGATGTGATTTTGTGGAAAGAGCGTGGCTTTGGACCTTCAGTTGTGTAGAAGCCAAGATGGATGTGGGTAGAGGCAAGCTCTTCCAGGCACGCCAGGAAGAAAGGAAGGGAGAAGGCGCTGTCCATAGCGCGTGGTGCCCAGGTGGCACCGTTCGTGGGTTCTCAAACATGTCCCCTCTGTAATTCCAGAACGAAGAGCTCCGGAACTTGTCCCTCTCCGGCCATGTTGGCTTTGACAGTCTTCCTGACCAGCTGGTCAACAAGTCCACTTCCCAAGGGTTCTGTTTCAACATCCTGTGTGTTGGTAAGTGACTCCTCACCTGCTGCCGGGCATGAAGGCTGACCTTCAGCTGGCAGGTGCCTGGGAGAGGGACTCATTTCAGGAAATAAGCAGGATGGCATTTTCACTTTTTTTTTTCTTCATTAGAAAAGCAGGACAATAATACCCACTGTCTATCTATAATATATGTTATATATTATATATATATATACCCACCGTTACAAAGATTCTTGTATGTCAGTACATGCTTTGTGGTGTTATTCAAGTTATTATTATTATTTTCTTAAAGACCTTTTTTTTATTATATATTTTATTGATTTTTTTTTTTTTTTTTTTTTTTTTACAGAAAGGAAGGGAGAGAGATAAAGAGTTAGAAACATCGATGAGAAACAACAATCAGCTGCCTCCTGCTCACCCTTCTCTGGGGATGTGCCCGCAACTAAGGTACATGCCCCTGACCAGAATCGAACCTGGGACCTTTCAGTCCACAGGGTGATGCTCTATCCACTGGGCCAAACCTGTCTCGGCTCAAATTATTTTTACTTAGTGGTCAGTTTAATGTTGTTATTAAGTCATTTATTTTCACGTTTGATAGGGGGAGGGACTTAGACCCTAATTAGTCACTAGTTAAAAGCAGGAACTGAGAAGTACATACACAGTAAGACCACTCAGAAGCCTGTGAACCATGTGTTTCTAGGGTCTCTCACTGCAGGGCCCCAGTAACCTCCATTACGGTTTTCTTAAAAGATATTCTACCTACGGTAAGTAACATCTGAAACCACTCTGACTACTTTCATAAACGTACCACCTTTAAAATGTTTGCTTTGAGCGCAAAAGCCAATTTCAAATTCTGTCTTATATTTGAAATAAACTTTCTGCCCAGTGGTCGCATTCACCTTCCATCCTCAAGTTGGAATCTAAAATCGACCTACATTTATTCCTGTTGGACAAACGGCCAGGGTCAGGGAGATCTGGCTTGCTTGTATCCTCAGCACATTTTCTTCATATCCTTTGAACGTCACACGTCAGCCTAGGCCGCTGGCTGTGGTGCTTTTCTGTGTCTCTCTAGTCAGATCCCTTTTACACTGAGAGGAGGAAGGTAGAAAAGAAGGTGGGGAGAGGGGGAGACAGAAATACACACCTCCTGTTGGTTTGAAGCAGAAATGCTCCTGGGACAGACGATGGCCTTGGACAGGCCGCTCCAGAGGAATGAGTGGCCCCGGCGGAGCCGCAGGGCGGTGGTTTGGGCGGCATTGGTGTGTTGCCATTGTCCTCTGGGCACATATCCCCAAGACTCCACTCTGAGGCAGAACAGCAGGAATTCTGTGTTTCTGTAGAGCCCAGTGGACCCGGGCTTGGCAGAATATACCAGACTCACTTCCCTTATCCACGTAAAGGGAAATGAATTTAGAAAAGGTGTGCACTCCGTGTAAGAACCACCATTTTAAAAAGTATATACTTTATAGATTTTTTACAGAGAGGAAGAGAGAGGGATAGAGAGTTAGAAACATTGATGAAAGAGAGACATTGATTAGCTGCTTGCTGCACACCTACTGGGAATGTGCCCACAACTGAGGTACATGCCCTTGACCGGAATTAAACCTGGGATCCTTCAGTCCGTAGGCCAATGCTCTATACACTGAGCCAAACCGTTTTCGGCGGGCCCACCATTTTAAAATGATACCCATTGGGGGGGGGGGGGGGAGGCAGGTGTTTCCCTGTTTGGAAGTATCCTGGCATGTTGCATGTGGCCGCTGCACTGGGTGCTCATCGGCAGAGTCCTCGGCACTGCGTGAGAGGAAGACAGGACCAGGCAGCCCGCTCTCTGGCTTGCCTTCTCCTTTTCCCCACGTGAAGTGGAGCCATTTAAAATTCAGCAGGGTGCCTCCTGAGTGGCAGCTAGTTCTGCAACGTGGCATAAATGAATTGCCTTTTCTCTTACAGTAAATGCTGCTTGCAGAGCCTGCGGTTCCTCATTAGCATAGAAATTTGTTGGCAATTTGTTGATTTTTTTTTGTTGTTTTTTTTTTCCTATTGAAAAGTGGGCTAAATTGTAGGCTGATTACTATTCTGGCTTCTCTCCCCTGCCTCCCCCAGCCTTGTCTTAAACATCAGCTTCACAAACACATGGGAGAGTTGTGTCCCAGCTCCTGCAGGTTGGGAAATTTCCCAGGGGCACTGGGCTTGCTGGACAGACCTGGTTGGACAGGATGCATGGTGTGAGGTGGGGGTGCTGGTTCCTGAGCTGACCCCTCTGTTAAATGAATAGTACTGTTACAATGCTGGCCAGAATTCCTCCCAAGCCACGTCCATGCTGCCCTGTTGGGTCTGCAGAGCAGCTACTATTTTAACTCACCTAGGTGAGTTACCTATGTGACAATACCTATGATTCTTAGATTATTTTTTAGATTCTGGTTCTATCTCAGACATGTTTAAAATTGGTTTTTCAAACGAACAAAAATAGTTCATCCTTTCTGTTTAAAAAAAAACAATCCCCCTCTTCTCTTTTCATTTTTCATCCTCATTTCCATTCCACAGAATTAACACTGATATTCTTCTAGAAACTTTACATCTTTCTGTACTTGGAAGTTATTTTTGGAGGCTTAGAACAACACCAGTTTATTACTATCAGTATTACCTTGTGGTTCTAGAAGTTCAGCATGTGTGCCCCCGGGCTCCATTCGAGGCATCAGCAGGACCACGGTCCTTTCCGAACCTCTGGGACAGCGGTCGCTAACCAGTGGTCTACAGACCTCTGGTGGTCCATGAGGTCCGAAAGGTTTGCGACCACTGCTCTAGGGGAGACCTCATGTCCTTGCTTTTCTAGCTTCTTGTGGCTCTTGGACCCTCCATTTTCAAAGCCAGAAGCATTGATTGCACTCCTCTCTCCCTCACTCTTGTCGTAGGAAAATTTCCATAGAGAATTGCTAAAATCCAGTTTACACTCCGTGAAGACTCTTCCTCAACCCCCAACACCAAAAAGGCCGTCTATTGAATGGTGGCCTGAATCCTGAGGGAGGGAGGTGGGGGGAGCCCAGCGCCAAACACAAGAGATTTCGATGGGGAAGGAGACTTGGTCAGAAGGCAGACGGGCAAGAGAGAGAACATATATATCATAGCAGCTCTTTCACAATTATACAAGAACTTCTTCATTTCGGTTTTAGAGATCATATTCTTCCGTGTTTTGATATGTATATATAATTGATTTCAGAGAGGATGGAGAGAGATAGACACATCATTGATGAGAATCGTTGATCAGCTACCTTCTGCACAACCCACACTGGGGGCTGAGCCTGCAACCTGGGCAGGTGCCCTGACCTGGAATGGAACCCTGACCTCTAGGTTCATAGGTTGATGCTCAACCACGGCACCACAGTGGCCGGGCTGTGTTTTCTTTTTCTCTCTCCACAGTACGTCCTGGCTGTCCTTCCAGGATCTCAAGCCAACAGATCCTTTTCCATGACTCTTTGGCGCCCTGTGGTGAAAGTCAACGTTCGCTCTTTGGGACACGGGGGTGTCGGCATTAATATTAAGCATACTTATCCTCAGAGAGGGGAGTGCATCAAATCTTCTTACCATAAATATTTTACAGCAAAATATCTGTAGGAGAAAACAATTTTCTCTGTCAATCAATGGTCCCATCTATTTTTAAAGTAAGAGTCTGTGAGAAAAAGGGTTCTAGCTTTTGACAGCCCTCGGGGGAATAGGTGTCCTATTTAGCTTCAGAGCATCCATGGTACTTTCTTTTCGCCTTGTCATCCCACTATCTGTTATTTTTTTTTAAATAATTTTTTATTGTTCATATTATTACAATTGTGCCTCCCCCCCTCCATTACTCTCCTCCACCAGGTTCCCATCCCACCCTCTGCCCTTTCCCCACCCCCACCCCCATTGTCCTCATCCATAGGTGCACAGTCTCTTCCCACACCCCCACTCCCCTTTTCCCCAAGAATCGTCAGTTCACTCCCCTTCCATACCTCTGATTCTATTATATTCAACAGTTAATATTGTTCATCAGATTTTTTTTTTAATTTCCTTGGTTTTTAGATTCACTTGTTGATAGTTACGTATTTGTTGTTCATAATTTTTATCTTTATTTACTTTCTCTTTCGAAAGAACCCCCTTCAGCAAGTCATATAATTCTGGTTTGGTGTTTATGAACTCCTTTAGCTTTTTTTTTTTTATTAGTGAAGCTCTTTATCTAGCCTTTGATTCTGAGTGATAGCTTTGCTGGGTAGATTATCTTTGGCTGTAGGTTCTTACTATTCATCACCTTGAATATTTCTTGCCATTCCCATCTGGCCTGCATGGTTTCTGTTGAGAAATCAGCTGACAATCGTATAGGTGCTCCTTTATAGGTAACTACCTGCTTTGCTCTTGCTGCTTTTAATATTCTCTCTTTGTCTTTTGCTCTTGTCATTTTAATTATGATATGTCTTGGTGTGGTCCTCTTTGGATTCCATTTGTTTGGAGTTCTGTGTGCTTCCTGGACTTGTAAGTCTAATTCTTTCACCAGGTGGAGGAAGTTTTCTGTCACTATTTCTTTCAGTATGTTTTCAATATCTTGCTCTATCTTCTAGGACCCCCATAATTCTGTTGTTGGTTCGCTTGAAATTATCCCAGAGGTTTCTTACATTATCTTCAATTTTCTGGATTCTCTTTTCTTCTGTCTTCTGTGGAGGAGTGTCTTCTGGCTCTTTATGTTCCCAATCTTTTACTTGATTCTTGCGATCTTCCATTCTGTTTTTAGGACTCTGTATAATATTTTTTATTTCAGACAATGTATTCTTTATTTCTTGTTTATCCCTTATCATTTCTCGTTGATTCCTTATTAATTCTAGTTGATCCCTTTTCATATCCTCATAGGTCTTATCGACCTTTTCTAGGAAATTCTTGAAAAACCTTATAAGCGTAGATTTGAACTATATATATATCCAGTCGCTTTTTGTCCTCCATTTCTTTCGTTTGTGATCTTTTTCGTTGTCACATTTTCGCAGCTTCCCTGATGGGGCGGAGTTTCAGGG